TACTGTATATATAGACCATAGACCTTGTTTTAACTTGTTTATTATCTTGATTAAAAATAAGTTTAAAAGGAATGCTATGAACCAGACAACAGGTTACAAAGTTGTAAGATTTAAGACGTTTGTAGAATTTAAAACTAGAGTTTGTGAACTGATTTAAAAAGATAACATATTAGATAAAATATATCAGTAAGTGAGATAAGGCCATTTGCCTGTAAGAATTAATTAATTGTACAGTCTTTTGATAATTAATACGGGTCTAAATTAATCTAGAACTGCTAATTTTTATTATAATATCCTATAATACTTATAAATAAAGACTTTTATTATTCGGATATGGCATAGTTTGCTAAGAAAGCTACAACCTAATCATTTTTTACGGATCTATTTTAGCCGACTTTAGTTTGTTTATAGTTTTTTGCCACCCATCATGGCGGATATAAAATTTTGCGGATGTTCGGCGCTCAGATGAATATCATGAATTCAAAGTAACTTTTTTGTATTTAAATGAATGAATTAATATGAATTCAAAGTAACTTTTTTGTATTTAAAACGAGTTTACTTTATATTCTTGACATCAAAATGAATGAAAAAAATTTTGCCAATATTTGGAACATGTAGCGAGTAGGATGTATTTTTATTAGTTTATTATTTATCTTTTATTATTCTCTATTCAATTATTGAGTAAGACTTTTACTTAATTTTTTTACCTAATTAAAATAAATATAAGTCACTTATATAATTATATTTATTTACATATATTATATTTCATTTATTTATGTATATATATATATATATATATATATATATATATATATATATATATATATATATATATATATACATATATATATATATATATATATATATATATATATATATATATATATATATATATATATATATATGTGTGTGTGTGTTTGTAGGCTGACCAGATTTTTTTTAAATAAAAAGAGTATATTTCTAATCAGGGCCAGCGCAAGGTGTCACGTAACGAGGGGTGGGGGGATGCCATTACAACTCTGGCCAACTAAAAAATAAGCCCTCATTTTTTAAATTTTTTCGACTGCATTAACAATATTTACAAACTGACTGTCTAAATTTATCAACTTACTTGTCTAAGCATTTGCTAACTGACTGACAAAAAGAGTCAAATTGTCGACTAAATGAACGAAAAAATCATTAATGGGTATATGATCATTAATGGGTATATAGTCGAAATTCTCATTATCATTAACAATAGGAATAAGGCAATGATTTAGTTCAATTAATAAAGTATTTGTAAGCTTTCGTAAATTTGTCATCTGAAAATTTCTTTATTAACTAAGTTAATAACTTTTTAATAATTTTTTATAATTTTTTAATAATTTTTAATAAGTTTTTTAACTAAGTTTATAATCCATGCATCATTATAAAATCTTCCAGCTTACTTTTTCAAATAACTAACTATTGTGATATAGAATTTTACTACAACAGAAGTCACATGTTTTTTTTTTACTTATATTTAAATATATTAAATTGATGATATATTTTTAGCATTATATCTTCAATATTTATTGGAATTACATGTGATTTTCTCTCTGTAAGTTCTTTTCAAGCTTTTCATGGATGTTACCTGCAGTTTTATTAGTTGATATAGTATCAAAGTTTACAGTGTTATCTGCTGAAAATCCAACAACATTACCTTGAATATTATAAAAGTTATTATCTTTTAAAGTTATATTAGCTATTGTTTCTGCAATTTCATTTGGAAGGTTTTGAACTTTTAAAATACAAGACTTTATTTTGAAAGCTGGTTTAACAACCAGCTTTCAAAATAAAGTCTTGTATTGTAAAAGTGCATGTGATGCATCAAACCACAAAAAAAAAAAAAAAAAAATTGTGGTTCAATGCATCACTGCATTAACAACAAAGTTTGCTTGTTGCAAATTTTTTTTTTTTACAAATCTTCAGACTAATTTAAAGTTAAATTGTTAACAAGACATTCTGACGTTTTCCACACATAATTTTATAATTACAGGATTTTCTAAAAAATTTGATGTGCAGTCTATATCCATGAAAGAATAGCCGTGTTTTACGTTGTGGTATGACCATACGAGCTCAATGACTGTAAGTTTTCAGCATAAGCAGCTAAATCTTTAGAGAGAAAAAAGGTTCTAGCTTTTGTTTTATAAAAACTGATGAACATTTTTTATGTGTTTATGATGCTGCGTGTTGAACCATATTTTATTTTTGTCATGATAAAAGATATATTAGCTTAGAAAAAAAATACTGCTTAGATATGGGCAAAATCATTTATTATTTATTGTTTATTTTAAATAAATAAATTTCTTAAATCAGTAGTTTAAAAAAAAAGAGTTTATTTTGTGATTTTTAGAAAAAGAGAGAGTATAAATAATTTTACATCAAAAAGAGTATAATACTCTAAAAAAGAGTACGTCTGGTCACCCTATGTGTGTGTGTATGAGTATGTGTGTATGTA